CCTATTCAATGATCTTAACATAGTCAATGATTTTAACCTATTCAATGATCTTAACATTGTCAATGATTTTAACCTAGTCAATGATCTTAACCTATTCAATGATCTTAACCTATTCAATGATCTTAACCTAGTCAATGATTTTAACCTATTCAATGATCTTAACCTAGTCAATGATCTTAACCTATTCAATGATTTTAACCTATTCAATGATCTTAACCTAGTCAATGATTTTAACCTATTCAATGATCTTAACCTAGTCAATGATTTTAACCTATTCAATGATCTTAACCTAGTCAATGATCTTAACCTATTCAATGATTTTAACCTATTCAATGATCTTAACCTAGTCAATGATTTTAACCTCATTCAATGATCTTAACCTAGTCAATGATTTTAACCTATTCAATGATCTTAACCTTGTCAATGATCTTAACCTATTCAATGATCTTAACCTAGTCAATGATTTTAACCTATTCAATGATCTGAACCTAGTCAATGATTTTAACCTAGTCAATGATCTTAACCTAGTCAATGATCTTAACCTAGTCAATGATCTTAACCTAGTCAATGATCTTAACCTATTCAATGATCTTAACCTATTCAATTCTAAAGTTAACCGCTCTGTTCCCCTCCTATCTATATAAACTTAACGTAACCCACGACCTCAAGTAGAAAAATACAACAAAAAATACATAATTCTGAGAAAGACAAAAAAAAAGAAAAAGATTTACAAATTTTAGGTAAAATATTGTAAACTTTATTGCGTGTATTTATGCATGTGTGTCACATATATGTGCGAGTGTTTTGTTATTTGAATTATTTTTTTTCTCCCCCCCCCAGTAAACTTAGCTAGGGTACGTTTGCTCATTGGCCACTTTTATTTCTGTCCCTATTTTTTTCTTTAGTTTAATTCCCCATCCTCTCCCTGGTTAGGTGGTCAGTGATGTTAGTTCTCTGGTGGATGCGGGGTGCTTTTTCGTTTTTTTTCGACTGTGTGTGTTTTTCGATTTCTGTTGTCGTGTTTGGATGAGTGCGTGTTTGTGTGAGTGTTAGGGATGAATGAATGTTTTTTATATTTTCTAGGCCTGCATTAATTTCGTCCAGTGAACTGATGTTTCTGCCACATTTAAGTATTGTGGGGGGTTTTACAACTAACAATAATTTTGCTTAGTTTCTTGTAAATACATTAATTCATATTGTATATGCTCATTGAGATCCTTTTAATTTGTTGTTTTATTCCACCACCCCCCACATACGACGATTTGTACATATGTGGAGTATTTAGGATTTTCATAGAGACAATGAGGTATTATGGTGGATGTAGTAAGAAAGCCTAGTAAGAATGTTGTGTTTTGGTTTTTGGAATATTGCTTGTATGCTTGGGTCAGTGCTTGTGGCTAGCTAAGTTTAAAATTAAGACAGATGAAGACCGTCTTTTCCCCATCCCCTTTTTTTAGGCCTTGTGCCACATTTTCTGTAATTTTACAGAAATAAATATTGTGTATGTGTCCTTCGACGTGGAGTAATGGTTACCAAGTTTGTCTCGCTAGATCAATTACGACTGAGTGAGTTCGATCCACACTAAGTGCTCCATACTTTTGGCCTTGTGGCACATTTAAGCTACGCTTAGAAAATCCTTATGTGCTTGTACGTAATGTATGTGTGTCATGCATATGTGCGTGTGTGTTATAGCGTGTCATCGATATGTGCGTGTAATGTATGTATGGGTGTCAGGTATACATGCGTGTGTGTTATGTATGTGTGTATGTATGTATATGTGTATGCGTGTAATGTGTGTCATGTATATGTGCGTGGGTGTTATGTACGCATCTCCTCAAAGATGTAGAAGATACTTGGAGCTATAAAAATGTGGTTATACAGGAGGATGTTGAGGATACCATGAACCGAACGTGAGTAATGACGAAGTTTTGGAGAAAATGGAAACAAAAAGGAAATTTATACTTAACCTCAAGAAGAGATAGTTGAGGTTTCTGGTGCATAAAATGAGGAAGGACGGCTTGGAAAATCTGATACGCACGGGACAGATAGAGGGCAAGATGGAGAAAGGAAGACAACGTATAATATTCTTAATGAGCTTGAGTAAATCGATGACGGAACGGGGCTTAGGAGAAATAACAGAAAGACACACATTATTAAGATCTAAAAGGTACAGGAAGTTGTGGAGAGTCATGATCATCTACGTACTGAGGCTACACATAAGAAATGTGTTATGTATATGTGCGCATGTATTATGTACGTATGCGTGTCATGTATATGTATGTGGGTGTTATGTATGTATATTTGCCATGCGTGTGTGTTGTGTACACTGTATGCGTGTCATGTATACAATTATATTTCCTTTCCATTTAGCACATCTTGTAATTTGTCAAAATACTCTTTCAACAATCAGTAAATATCGTCTTGAAAGTTCAAACAGTCGACTGGTGGTCACCAAATCTTGTGAACTGTAAGCGTATAAAAAAGAGAATTCAGTCGACTAATGAATCGTTCGACAATTGCGTCGTCTCTTTGTTTCTTGCGGGATATTGACAACCATTGTGACACGAGGTTCGCTTCCAAAGTAATACCTCCTATTTTCTTCTGATGGTCTAAAATGTCAGACAGATGTTGGTGAACTCTTTCCGCCAATTACCCATAATTGCTTTAATTTTTTACAGATGGGAGCCGAGCGACACTCAGGTAAAATGGTGTCTGACAAGAAAGTGAACGGATACCTCTATGCGACATTCTGGCAAAACGGTTTCTAACAGGAAAATGCGTATGAAACAAAGGTGTGTGACTGGATTCCTCCATGCGACAATCTGCTAAAATGGTGTCTGACATGAAAGTATATATAAAGCAGAGTTACGTGAACGGATTCCTCCATGCGACAGTCTAGCAAAACGGTGTCTAACGGGAAAATATATATGAAGCAGAGTTGTGTGAATGGATTCCTTCACGCGACAATCTGGTAAAATGGTGTCTGACATGAAAGTATATATGAAGCAGAGGTTCGTGAACGGATTCCTCCATACGACAGTCTGGCAAAACGGTGTCCAACGGAAAAATGCTTATGAAGCAGAGGTGTGTGACTGGATTCCTCCATGCGACAATCTACTAAAATGGTGTCTGACATGAAAGTATATATAAAGTAGAGTTACGTGAACGGATTCCTCCATGCGACAGTCTGGCAAAACGGTGTCCAACGGAAAAATACGTATGAAGCACAGGCGTGTGAATGGATTCCACCATGCGATAATCTGGTAAAATGGTGTCTGACATGAAAGCATATATAAAGCAGAGTTACGTGAACGGATTCCTCCATGCGACAGTCTGGCGAAACGGTGTCTAACGGGAAAATATATATGAAGAAAAGTTGCGTGAATGGATTCCTTCACGCGACAATCTGGTAAAATGGTGTCTGACATGAAAGTATATATGAAGCAGAGGTTCGTGAATGGATTCCTCCATGCGACAGTCTGGCAAAACGGTGTCCAACGGAAAAATACGTATGAAGCAGAGGTGTGTGAATGGATTCCACCATGCGACAATCTGGTAAAATGGTGTCTGAAGCAGAGGTGCATAAATATATATATTCCCCATGCGACAGTCTGACAAAATTGTGTCTGACACAAAAATACGCATGAAGTAGAAGTGTGTGAATGGATTCCACCATACGACTCTCTGGCATAATTGTATATGACAGGATTATACGTATCAAACAGAGGTGTGTGAATTAATTCATCGATGCGAGAGTCTGGTAAAATTCTGTCTGGTATGAAAGTATGAATGAAATAGAGGTACGTGATTGGCTCACTCCATGGGACAATCTGACAAAAAGGTGTTTGACATGACAGTTTATATGAAGTAGAGGTCTGTGAATGGATTCTTCCATGCGAAAAATTTGCAATTGACGTTGATAAACGGTTAGGGAAACTCATTAGCAGATGTGAGCACAGTAAGCCAGTGGATAATGCGTTTCAACGATTTGTGAAAAGCCACTTATACGGGCGCGACATTCGGGGCCTTGTTCATCTTTGGCGCTCGTGGCCATGACTATGGGAAAAGGGAGTTTTTAATTGAAAAGTTGCTTAATCGAAATTTGTTACATGTATTTGTTATAGTTACTGCACAAGACAATAGTAGGCAGTAATTTCGAAGTGTTCCTCACAGACTGATAGACAGAAACGTAACTGAATGATAAGTGGAACATTTCTGTGTAAACGTTTTCTAGATTGATTGATTTGCTTCTTACAGTATATCAAGCTTTTGCAATCTTTAATGCTAGAAAATATTTTAGATTGTAAGCATTTTGTAGATAATAAAGATTTACTTCCTACTAATTAACCCATAGGAGGAGACGAGGTGGATTCATGCCTTTCCCAAGGATATTTGCACGTATGTGATTATAACGAATCCGATTAGAATTGAAACTCTGCTCTCCAATATACAATTCCGAATTATTATTCGTTACAGCATCCGCACATCCAATCTTACGGCATCTGGTATATTCAAGCGGTCGCCCATCTAGTTACTGACCAGAATCGACGTTGCTTAACTTTGGTGATCGTACGAGAACTGATATTTCAACGTGATATGGCCGTAACCCTTAGATCTTATGCAGTAGCTTAAGAAAAAAAATCTGTTATTATGAAAAATCATTATTATTGTTTTGTAGTATGGAGGTGAGGATATTGCAAAGCAAAAAGTGAATTCAGCGTGCCGAGTTCAATTCCCGCGCGATGCGGTTTCGTTTACTTAGCATAACCTTTGAAAAAAGATACCCACCTCAGCCAGTAAATCAGACTGGGCTTTCTCGCCTTGAATTTGCAACCAGTTTAGGAGAAGAAAAAAATCTGAATTCACACTGAAGGGAGATGGGCTATGTCAGACAATCTTCCTCAAAAAGCAACACTCCTGCTCTGAATTCCAAAGCAGGTAATCCTTCATATAAGCGGCGTAAAATAATCTGCTAAAGTCCTGCTTCGATTAAACGGCGAAAAATAAACGGTGCCGTTTTCAATTCAGTCATGTCTCCTGGTAGACTAAGTCAGTCGTCGATCCAAATGAATTATTATCGCGAAAAGATATTTTACAAGAAGATCGGTGCTTACTGGTGCACGGCAATGCTCTTAGGGAGCCTATAACTGTGTTGTTGGTAAGCACAAGGACGTCTCATTAGAAACAGCCTACATCGCAACAAGTGAAACCGGCCATTTGGATTAAATGCCTATTATAATGCCACAGATGGTTATCGCTGGTATTTCAAATCAGGTAAATATCGTCGAAATGTCAGATTATTTGTTCTTTGCTCGCAAAAGAAACTGATCTGAGCTGGAGTCGCAACATGGCACAGAACGACACCCATCTTGAAGCATGCATGAACAACGCTAGCAAGACGCCTATCAGGCGGTAAAAGAACATTTCCGTGTTTTCAGTATTTATTTGCTTCTTCGTCCACCATTATCCATTGTCGTCACCCAAGGGCGAAATTAGTGCCGTATCCCATTCTTTTGTTTGTACGAACCATTGTACTCACTCCAAGAAGTCCATTATTTTCTGTCGCGTCTGAAGTAGGGTGGGGAGACAGTTCCTTTCTTCAGTACGACATGTTTTTAAAGAGACATTATCTATGAATTCTGAGTTTCCTTCTCCTAGACTGGTTGTTTACCGAAGACTATAGGATCCAGTTTTCAACTACTATTTTACCTTGGGGAAATGGATTCATACCTTCGCCATGAGTATTAGCACGTAATGAACTCAACTGGAATTCGAACTGGGCTCTCTGATTCCTCAACCCGAGCCGCTAACCATTACTTCAACGTGTCTCACGTTTTTATTACAATGTTTAAGAGTAATAAACTTATATACTTTGATCTTATTAATATTATGTCGTTCAAGGTATAGCAGATTAAATTACGCCGCTTAAGTGAAGGATTACCCAAAAGCCGTGGGGAGGGAAACTCGAAATCTCTTCAAGAGCATTCCAAAGAACAATCTTGATTCCATATTTACAACTATTAAAGAAAATGAAGTCGTCTTGAATAAAACAGACAGCGTCTAGCAAGTCTTCGCAATCCCGCATTAATATCCTCAGAAATTTACCAAATATATTGGCCATGGCGAAATTCACCGATTCTATACAAGAATCGGTGAATTTCGGTAAATTTCGGTAAATTTCGGTATTCATTGACCGAACAGTTACTGGTACTGTCGGTTGAAATTTGTAAAATATTTTAAGAGTATTTCAGGAAAATAGGCTTTCCACATCTACTATTATCGCTCTTTCCAATACCGATGGGTGTTTCCTTCCTAACCTTTTGTTTAAGGTCGTGTGGTAGGTCTATCTTGATTATATTATCATTTTCCCTAATTACACCTGCTATCCACTTTATTCTAATTCTTTCTCTTTCTTTCTTTCTTTCTTTCTTTCTTTCTTAGTCCCCATTTCTTCCTTTACTCTTTCTGTCTTCCATTTACTTTCTTTCTTAGAAATAATTTCTTTCTTTCTTTCTTTCTTTCTTTCTTTCTTTCTTTCTTTCTAACTTTCTTTTATCTTTCTTTCTTAGTTCCGATTTCTTTCTTTATTCTTTTTAGCCTACGTTCTTTCTTTCTTTCTTTCTTTCTTTCTTTCTTTCTTTCTTTCTTTCTTTCTTCTCCAGTATCTCTTGTTTCTTTTTTCTTCTATTCTTTCTTTTTTAGTCCCGATTTCTTTCTTTATTATGTTAAGCCCACATTCTTTCTTCCTTCTTTCTTTTTTCTTTCTTAGTCCCAATTACATTCTTTCTTTCTTTGTCAGGATTTTTTCGTTATTTTTTTAGTTTACATTCATTCTTTCTTTCTTCTCCAGTATCTCTTTTTTTTTTATTTCTTTCATTATTTCTTTCTTAGTCCCGATTTCTTTCTTTATTCTTTTCCTCCCAAATTGTTTCTCTTTTTCCTTTTGTTTCTCTTTCTTTCTTTCTTTCTTTCTTTCTTTTTCTTTCTTTCTTAGTCGATTTCTTTCTTTATTCTTTTCCTCCCATATTGTTTCTCTTTTTTCCTTTTTTTTTTTCTTTCTTTCTTTCTTTCTTTCTTTCTTTCTTTCTTTCTTTCTTTCTTTCTTTCTTTCTTAGTCCCGATTTCTTTCTTTATTCTTTTCCTCCCAAATTGTTTCTCTTTTTCCTTTTGTTTCTCTTTCTTTCTTTCTTTTTTCTTTCTTTCTTTCTTTCTTTCTTTCTTTCTTTCTTTCTTTCTTAGTCCCGAATTCTTTCTTTATTCTTTTCCTCCCAAATTGTTTCTCTTTTTCCTTTTGTTTCTCTTTCTTTCTTTCTTTCTTTCTTTCTTTCTTTCTTTCTTTCTTAGTCCCGATTTCTTTCTTTATTCTTTTCCTCCCAAATTGTTTCTCTTTTTCCTTTTGTTTCTCTTTCTTTCCTTCTTTCTTTCTTTCTTTCTTTCTTTCTTTCTTTCTTTCTTAGTCCCGACTTCTTTCTTTATTCTTTTCCTCCCAAATTGTTTCTCTTTTTCCTTTTGTTTCTCTTTCTTTCTTTCTTTCTTTCTTTCTTTCTTTCTTTCTTTCTTTCTTTCTTAGTCCCGACTTCTTTCTTTATTCTTTTCCTCCCAAATTGTTTCTCTTTTTCCTTTTGTTTCTCTTTCTTTCTTTCTTTCTTTTCTTTCTTTCTTTCTTTCTTTTCTTTCTTTCTTAGTCCCGATTTCTTACTTTATTCTTTTCCTCCCAAATTGTTTCTCTTTTTCTTTTTTTTCTTTCTTTTCTTTCTTTCTTTCTTTCTTTCTTTCTTTCTTTCTTTCTTTCTTTCTTTCTTTTTCTTAGTCCCGACTTCTTTCTTTATTCTTTTCCTCCCAAATTGTTTCTCTTTTTCCTTTTGTTTCTCTTTCTTTCTTTCTTTCTTTCTTTCTTTCTTTCTTTCTTTCTTAGTCCCGATTTCTTTCTTTATTCTTTTCCTCCCAAATTGTTTCTCTTTTTCCTTTTGTTTCTCTTTCTTTCTTTCTTTCTTTCTTTCTTTCTTTCTTTCTTTCTTTTTTAGTCCCGATTTCTTACTTTATTCTTTTCCTCCCAAATTGTTTCTCTTTTTCCTTTTGTTTCTCTTTCTTTCTTTCTTTCTTTCTTTCTTTCTTTCTTTCTTTCTTAGTCCCGACTTCTTTCTTTATTCTTTTCCTCCCAAATTGTTTCTCTTTTTCCTTTTGTTTCTCTTTCTTTCTTTCTTTCTTTCTTTCTTTCTTTCTTTCTTTCTTTCTTTCTTAGTCCCGATTTCTTACTTTATTCTTTTCCTCCCAAATTGTTTCTCTTTTTCCTTTTGTTTCTCTTTCTTTCTTTCTTTCTTTCTTTCTTTCTTTCTTTCTTTCTTTCTTTCTTTCTTTCTTTCTTAGTCCCGATTTCTTACTTTATTCTTTTCCTCCCAAATTGTTTCTCTTTTTTCCTTTTGTTTCTCTTTCTTTCTTTCTTTCTTTCTTTCTTTCTTTTCTTTCTTTCTTAGTCCCGATTTCTTACTTTTATTCTTTTCCTCCCAAATTGTTTTTCTTTTTTCCTTTTGTTTCTCTTTCTTTCTTTCTTTTTCTTTTCTTTCTTTCTTTCTTTCTTTCTTAGTCCCGACTTCTTTCTTTTATTCTTTTCCTCCCAAATTGTTTCTCTTTTTCCTTTTGTTTCTCTTTCTTTCTTTCTTTCTTTCTTTATTTCTTTCTTTCTTTCTTTCTTTCTTTCTTTCTTTCTTTTAATTTATCTTCTTTTTTCCTGTTTATATTTTCATTTCTTATTATATTGCTTTCTGTCATTTTTTTCATCTTTTTCCGAATTATATAATTGTCATTCTCTGTATCATTCTCTTTCCTTCTTTCTTTTTTCTTTCTTTCTTTTCTAGTTCATATTTCTTTCTTTATTCTTTTCATCCCAAATTCTTCCTTTCTTTCATTCATTCATTCTTTCTTTCTTTCATTTTTTTCTTTCTTCCCTTTTCGATTTTTACTTATTTTATTCTTCCTTTCTTTTAGGTTTTTTTTCAATTTGTAACACTTTTATTCCGAGTCCAGTTTTTCAATGTCCCTTCAGTTATTCTTTATTCTTTCATTTGTTTTTGTCATTTATTTCTTTAATTCTTCTTTCTTCACTTCCTTCCTCGTTTTTTTTTTCTTTCCTTTTTCGTTTAATCAAAAAATTTCTCTTTTATTTTAGTCCTATTTCAACGAATCCGCCATATTGTTGTTATCCTTTTCGGTGGGGATGCGGACTGGAGTAGAAAGAGTAAAGGTGGGAGTGGAGATATTTTGTTGTTGTTTACTGAATTCACCGGAAGCAACTCTCATTTAAAAGAACGCTGGCGTTTGCAACTTCCGGCGGTTAGGGTCCAAATTCGTAATTACAACGCACTTGCTGATGAGGCAACAGAAAAACGCTGCCGCCATTGTTATAGCGATGTTATTTTCGCTATTATTGGAATTGCCCCTTCCACTCTTCATCTAATCTTCCCCCTGCTCTTTTTTTATTTTTTATTTTCCTTCCCAATTTGTTATACCTTGTGTATTTTCTTCCATCTTTATATTCAATTATCTTTTAATTTATTTTGTATCTTCTTCTTCTTCTTCTTCTTCTTCTTCTTCTTCTTCTTCTTCTTCTTCTTCTTCTGATGCTGCTGCTGCTGCTATTTCTCTTCTCTTAATTTCTTGCTCCGCCTCTTTTTTCCTTCTATTTTTTCTTTTGTCGTTCTTCTTTCTCTTTTTATCCTTGTTTCCTCTTCTTCTTCTTCTTCTTCTTCTTCTTCTTCTTCTTCTTCTTCTTTGTTTCCGTTTTTTCCCCTCTTCCTCTTCTAACACTTTTTTCTTCTATTTCTTCGTTCTTTTCTTGTACACCTACTCTTCTTCTCCTTCTTCTTCTTCTTCTACGTCTACCTCTTCTTTTTCTTTCTCGTCTTCATCTACTTTCTTTTCTTCTGTTTAACCTTTTTTCTTCTTTCTTTTCTTTTCTTCTTTTTCCACTTTTTATTCTACTTTTGCTTCTTTTCCTCTTCTTCTTCAAACTTCCCATCTTCCTCTTCTTTTCCCATTGTTCTTCTTCTTTAACGTTTCTTCATTTTTCTTTCTCTTATTTATTTCTTTTCTACCTGTCTTTCTTTTTTCTTCTTCTTCTTCTTCTTCTTCTTCTTCTTCTTCTTCTTCTTCTTCTTCTTCTTTTTTCTCTTATTATTCTATCTCTTATTATTCTGTCGCTTATTTTTTCTTCTTCTTTTTTCTTCCTCCTTCTTATCGTCTTTTCCCCCACCTTCTCTTATTTCTTTTTCTTTATTAGCCTCTTAAGTTTTTCCCTTTCTCTAAATTCAACGAAATTCTTACATATTCATATATTTTTGCTTCTGTATACGAAAATTTTAAAAATTTTATTCGCACATATAGCAATATATAAACGCTAAACATTCATAACGTAATTTTCCACATTCCGTTTGAATACAAAATTATTGCTGATCCGAAAAAAATAGTATCCTCTTTCGGAAAAAATGTAAGAATTTCTTAAAACTTCTAATAAATATGATAGGTACAAAAAGTCAAAAGCTAAATTCACAATAAGATTGGTAGTTACTTTCTAAATTTTAAACTTGCATATTGTTAAAATAGGTTGTGTTTGTACGAGAAATGCTGAAAAGCTCTCGACTTCACCTAATTTCCAAAGTATTCTGACCAGATTTTTAATAAGATCTACAAAGGTACCCGGAAAACAGATCTTGCACGATCAGGTTTGAACTACAGAACAACAATCCATATCTGTTGTGTATCAAAATCAGTATATTGAGGTTGTCAGTGATATTAGATCTATTGATTTTTTTTTTTTTTACAAATTTTAACGGGTTCTACACCTTCCATACAACCACATACACACACACATACACACACACACACACATATATATATATATGTATATATATATATATATATATCAATATATATATATATGTATATATATATATATATGTATATATATATATATATATATATATATATATGTATATATATATATATATGTATATATATATTATATATATATATATATATATATATATATATATATATATATATATATATATATATATATATATATATATATATATATATATATATATATATATATATATATATATATATATATATATATATATATATATATATATATATATATATATATATATATATATATAAAAAAAGAAAAGAACAGTAGATATAAAACCGGTGTTCTTATAGATATTTTATTTTTATTTTTAAAAAATAGTGCTCAGTGTAAATTTACAGAGCATTAATATTATAAATTAATTGATTTAAAAATATGGTTATTTTCGCTACACAGTTCCAACCATGTTTCAAAAATAGAAGCTAAAAACCCTAATTTTATTTTTGCAAATAAATTAAAAGCATTAGTTCTATTTCATCTTCAAGCGAATTTTGGAGTAACTTTTAAAATTTACCGGGTTTTAAATACACAGCTAAAATCACGTTTCCATGGTTTACAGAATATTCTACTCAAATTGAACACGGGGTGTCTAGATTTTCCTTATGACAGTATCATTGTATCAGTTATTAGCTACATTTTGGTAAGGGGTGAGGATGTATTTTACACTGAAACCTGACGTCGGTTGAATGGATGTCGTCTGAATTTAAAAAAAAAAAAAAAAAAAAAAAAAAAAAAAATTGTTAAAAAAAATTTTCAACGTCATCTTTTAAAATTAAAGATTTTTTTACAATACTTTTTATTTAACTACGATTTGAAATATTTTCCTTTTTAATTTTTATTTTACTATATTCTTTTTAAGAACAGTTAAATGTATTAGAATCCATTATATTATGTAGGATTATTTTAACATTAAGTTTAAGTATGTATATATATATATATTAACATTAAGTTTAAGTAAGTATATATATATATTTGTCTATTTGGTCAGTGATCCTTCATTGACGCAAGTGGGACATTAAAGTCTGATAATTCACTTCGATTAAGTTTTCGTTCAAGTTTTCTTATGTCTGTATAAGTGTTTTCTTTTCTTTTTAGTATAAATTATGTAAAAACGTTTTCAAATATTCAATGTATACGAGTACTTTCAATTATTCTATAAGCCATTGTCAATGATATTCTTTAACTGAATATGTAGATTTTTATATATCTGCTTCTGTAGTTATGGGAGTGTTTTTTTTTTTCTATTTTCAAAACATTTAAACACATTTAAGCAGACACGTACAAACTACGAAACTGCAACGTTAACTATACGACCATAATAATCCCGTCCATATGTAAGAAAGGCTAAAAATAATAGAAGCTTAATAATAAAAATGAAAAAAAGCACTCACTAATATCAACTATGAACACAGCCACAACGTACTGACCGTGTTTGGAAAATTTAAAAGACATTCTCATTCCTATAATATTCCTATCGTTTTCTCTCAGATATGTGGTTAAAAAGGGCTTCGAGGGAATAAAGCATCTAGGTCCTAACGAGGGTCATTTTTATTCGAACATATAGCAAAAAGATCTGTACCAAATAACAGAAACCACATCACTTGAAAACTTACAAATAAAATGGATAGTACGTGTAACTGGAAGAAAAAATAATATATAATGGAGATGTCAGGAAAGAGCAATAACAAGTTGATATTTACATGAAAAATTGTCGCCATTTTACATTTTTAATTTCACGCATGCGCGTTGTTTGTTTTTGATTTTGTCAACTGCACAGTAAATTAGAGCACATTGAGCACCGGTTGTGTGAGCACCATGACGCAATTCACTCCGCCAAAACTTTGGAAAGGTCACACTGTACTACCGGCAGCTCCGATAAGAACATTTCAGAGTGCCTGTGTGTCAATCTGAGGACAGTGCAGAGGATTCAGAAAGAGTTAGATGAGTCTAATGGTGATTACGAAGCTGTTTAGCGTGATCACTAGGGATGGTAATGTTATGCCTCTATTCATCTTCCCACAGGACCACAAACTCAATAGGGAGGCCTACATCAATTGCCCTAAGGAGGTAGTACTACAGTGTGTCAAGAAGGTGGCTGCTGTAACACCCTATGTCTGGTAAGAGGACTCTGCAGCATGCGACACAAACAGGAGAACCCAGTCGAGCTGCAACCCTCTTGACTATTATGTGCCGGGCGCAGTTGAGCAAGAGACCAAGAAAACTCCTTGTAATACCAAAGATGAACAGAAGGCAAAGATTATGGCAACATTTGCCAACTTAAACAAGGAGACTCTCCAGAAGGGATGCAAGAGATTCCGAAGTCGTCTATTCACCGTCCTTCCCTTCATCCTTTCCTTTATCACGCCTCTTGCTCCCACTCCCTGTAAGCCCTTGCGTGCTAGTGGCACTCCCGCCTTGCTTGGGGTGAAATGCTTAATATATATATATATATATATATATATATATAAAAAGAAAGATCAGTAAGATATATAATCCGGTGTTCTTATAGATATTTTTATTTTCACACAATAGTGCTCAATGTAAATTTACAGAGCATTAATATTATAAATTAATTGATTTAAAATATAATATTATAATATTATAAATTAATTGATTTAAAAATTTTTTTTTACACAGTTCTACCCATGTTTAGAACTGTGTAGCGAAAAAACCATATTTAAATCAATTAATTTATAATATATATATATATATATATATATATATATATATATATATATATATATATATATTTAAATAGGTTTGAAACGGTATAAAAAGCGTAGTA